CACATGCCTTAAAATTATCAAGGTTGAGAAACACTGTAAGCTGATCTATGATACCCTGCCATTATAAACCACTAGAGTTAACACAATTTTGAATTTGAGACAAGTGGAAGATGCAAATCAAGTTTTAGGTTGCTGTAAAAATCATTTGGCTCAAAAAAAAATATCTGAAACTCTTTTGAGCCCTTGAAAATCCTCCTCCTCCTCCTCCTCCTCCTCCTCCTCCTCCTCCTCCTCCTCCTCCTCCACATACCTCACTCCCTACTAATACTGATGATGTTACCTAGTTGGGTAATGAAACGTCTGCAAGAAAGCAACCAAGCTCAGAGAGCATCAAGGACTCCACAGTCCTCCTCCTCCCCAGTTCTTGGTACAAACTTTAAAACAAACCAGTTTAGGGTTAATGAATTTCAGTTTATAGTTCAGTTATATAATCTGAATGTGGTGGGGGGGAGGATTTTCTCGGTAGAACCCTGTGGCCACCAGCCACATAAGAAAGAGATAAGTGGAATAATTATTTGTTGGCAGTGTATTCTTGCTCTCCTGGTGCCTATCTCCTTATTGTGAAACCCAGTTACACCCTGAGTGGGGCTGGTACCCAGTACCACCACCTAATTCTTTTGCAGTTCAGCCAGACTCAAAATCTCTTTGGATTTTCTCACGTCACCGAAGGGGGGGGGGAGAAAGACAGAGATGGGAGGGGTGAAGAGAGGAAAAGAAAGTCTGGTGGCTTTCCCAGAATTTGATGTCTTTTGGACGCTTGTGAATTCTTTCACATATCCCTCCCCTGCTGCTGGAAGCTTGAATCACAGCGGCTTTCTGACAGTTGAGAAGAGCTGGGGGGCTCAGCTCCTCCCTGGGGTCTGGCCCATTGTGGGAACAAACATATCATGCCTGTTGGTTTCATTAAAGGGCATCTGTGAATGCGTGAAACCACTTAACTCCTTGAGTGCCTCAGGGCTCCTAAAGCACCACTCCAAACTGGGCAGTAAAAAGACACACCAGTCAGCTGTGGAGCTGGGCAGGACCAGAGAGATTTAAAACACCAGCAAAACATTTTGCACTCCAGGTAGCCTTCAACCTGTAACAGTTCATTTAGTGACCATTTCAAAGGTGACGTATGACCATTCATCACACTTATGAAAAGTGTTGCAGCATCCACCAGGGTCACGTGATTTACATTTGGATGCTTGACAACTGGCTCACATTTATGACAGTTGCCGTGTCCCTTTTGCGACTCTTCTGACAAGCAGAGTCGATGGGAAAGCCAAATTCACTTAACAACCGTGTTACTAGCTTAGCAACTGCAGTGATTCACTTAACAAAAGTCATCAAAAGGGGCAAAACTCACTGAACAAATGTCTCACTTAACAACATACATCCCGGGCTCCGTGGTGGTTGAGGACCACCTGTATTCGTATTTAACCTGAGAAGCAGGACGGTCTTCTGGAACAATTGTAGAAGAAATCTAAAGCCCCAAGATTGGTTCCAGATTGGCTGCCGGAGAGCAGCTACTGACTTCAATCTGGTTCATTTTCATCAAAGAATGTTTTGAGAGGAGGGGATGAAAAACATTCCTTCCAATAATGGAAGAAGGCTTAGACAGAATTTCTTTCAACTCTCCTCTTCCTTCATGGAGAGGCGAGCTATCGACTGACTTCACACCACTGGGATGGCTGCAAGGGATGAGTTGTAGATGGGGATAATTGTCCATGTCAGATTACACCAACCATTGAAATTTTCAACCCCATCAATGCACTGTCTGTGTTTATATAACACATTACACCCTTACCACCACCCCACAACGGCCTGGCTGATAGCTCTGGCTAAGACGGGGTCTGAATTTCCCATATAACCCTGAACCACTAATTTGCCCAGCTCTATTTTAGCCTGGTTTAGCAAGTTGTACAAACTGCTCTGCAACTTGTGAAGTCCACTAGAATTCAGCAGCCAAATCTGAGTGAGCAGAATTATTTATTTATCTCTTCTCCAAATAGCAACTCATGTCTAATGCTTTAGCTTAGCCTTCCTTCAAATGCAGCTGTAAGTAAGTCCTCGACTTATCACCGTAATTGATCCTGAAATTATGCCAGTCATTTAGTGGGTCACTAGATGATTGCACCTAATTTTATGTCTTTTTTGCAGTAGTCGGTGAGCAAATACCATGGTTGATAAGATAATACATTTTTTTGCTGGAAACTAGAAGTAAATTCCAGCTTCTAGTCATAAATTAATGTCATGTATGGGATGTTGCAAACAGCCATAAATGTAGGCCAATTGCCAAGCATCCAAAATGTGATTATGGGACCACAGGAGGATTGTTGAATGTTTATTAAGTTCTTGTAAATCAAGAACTACCTGTATGTGATATTGTTTCTAGATTGTAATTAAGGATTTGTGCAGGGAAGTGTCCCTACATCCTGGACCAGATCTGGGCATTTTACTACCTCCGGGACACATCTGGCCCTTTGGCTATCCTTGTCCAGCCCTCGTGGACTGCTTTTATTTGGAAGGTGACTGCTATATTTTTGTTTTCAATTTATGCATGTGCATGCATGTATGCCTATACACCTTTACAGCCCTATGGGTTCAGCCACAACAGTCCCAGTTTCCCTTGTGACTTCGTGGGGAAATTAATTGCCCACCCCTGTCCTAAATAGGTTAGAAACAAGTCAGGCACTAATTCAGAGTCAGTCAAGTGATAGGTGGGTAGGTAGGTAGGTAGGTAGGTAGGTAGGTAGGTAGGTAGGTAGGTAGGTAGGTAGGTAAGTAGGTAGATAGATAGATAGATAGATAGATAGATAGATAGATAGATAGATAGATAGATAGATAGATAGATAGATAGATAGATGCTAGTCAGGCTCTAATTCAGAAACAGAAATAGAAGAAATTGCTCCACATCCTGCTTTAGCTCCTCCTCCTCCTTCCTTTTTCTTTCTTTCTTTCTTTCTTTCTTTCTTTCTTTCTTTCTTTCTTTCTTTCTTTCTTTCTTTCTTTCTTTCCCTTTCTCCTCCTCCTCCTCCTCCTCCTCCTCCTCCTCCTCCTCCTCCTCCTCCCCTCCTCCTCCTCCTCCTCTCCTCCTCCTCCTCCTCCCTCCTTCTTCTTTTTCTTTTCTCTTTTCTTTTTTTTTTTCTTTTTCTTTTTCTTTTTCTTTTTTCTTTTTCTTTTTCTTTTTTCTTTTTCTCTTTTTCTTCTTCTTCTTCTTCTTCTTCTTCTTCTTCTTCTTCTTTCTTCTTCTTCTTCTTCTTTTCTTCTTCTTCTTTTTCTTTTCTTTTTCTCTTCTTCTTCTTCTTCTTCTTCTTCTTCTCTTCTTCTTCTTCTTCTTCTTCTTCTTCTTCTTCTTCTTCTTCTTCTTCTTCTTCTTCTTCTTCTTCTTCTTCTTCTTCTTCTTCTTCTTCTTCTTCTTCTTCTTCTTCTTCTTCTTCTTCTTCTTCTTCTTCTTTTCTCTAAAACCAAGATGGTTTTCCTGGCCTTCTCACAAGAGCTCCTGTGTTTCTCCTTCATCCCCTTCCCCTTTAAATCCAATTGTGGTGCTCTGAGCTGTGGTGGGTCTTTATGCAGCTCATAAAACTCTCGGATAAAAGCTGAGATGGACAGCGAGGGTCAGAGTTCATACAATATACCCCGCCCTGTTTCATTTACAACTGGAAGTCACCTCATTAAATACAACACTTTTCTTCCCCACTTCCACCCCTTGGCCGAGTCTCTCTGCTCTTATTCAGGGAGCGCGGCCATGAAATTTCAGGTATAAGGTTGTTACTTGGCTGACTTCACTCCCTTCTTCTGGGCTGTGTGGTGTTCATTTTGCATGTTTTAAGCTAGGCAATGCAGTGCCCATAGTCACAAACACATTCTCAATTCTTTCGAGTCTCTGCCCTACTTGACTTTATTATTTTTAAAGAGTATTTTAATGAAAATAAATAAATGGGAAGCCGATAGGTTGTGAAATCTCCAAATACGACTTCGGACTTTAAATAGGTGCTTTAGAAAATAAAAATGGCAATGGGCTAAAACTCAGTGCTTTATAAAAATGTAAAAAAAAAAAATATAAGGATAGGATGACTTAGTAGTTCCTCTTACTCTGAGAGTGGGGAGCGGAGGTTTTAATATAAAAATCTCAGTTCCAAGTCTGAATATTGGACTGGTAGTTTCTCCCCTGACATGCAATAACTGAGTCTGATATAGTGTCCCCTAGGTTTGAGGGGTGCTCAGGTGTCTGCACAATAGGGAAGATCATCTCCAGATTATTTCCCCAGCCATCAAGAATTACATCACTCTTCTCAGAACCAGAGATGGCATCACAATCAGTACAATGGTTTCTTAACCCAGCAAATTCTCTTTTGTTAAGAGGGTCCTCCCACGGGATTCCTTAATAGCACAGTATAAGATTGCCTTTTCCAATTTGATGCTCAGCACATGTGCCTAAAGGGAGACGAGAGGCCAACACATTTGACAGGCAACCATATCTGGTTCCAATGTAGAATTTTGCTCACAAACTGGGCAAGTCTCCAGCCAGAGTTCCATTTGGAGTTGTCTTGATGTACAACTTTTGCTTTCAATCTGAACTCTTATATTTTATCCGGAACTTTCAAGCCCAGGTAATATTACACTTGTACCAGATAATCAGTTATGCTATCATTTGATGGCTGGGAAACGGCTGGAGCCATTTGTGAATAAACAAGCTCTGTAACATCTGGATGCTCTTTAACAAAGATAGATTTTTGAAGGAAGCAGATCAAGACCACTAATCGTGAGGAACATTAAGATGGCCCTCAGAAGAAAAGATAGATTTCTTTTGAATATCAGCTGCTGGAGAACATGAGAGCAAGGAAGTGTTGTAACTAAGCAATAGCAATAACACTTAGACTTATATACTGCTTCATAGTGCTTTATAGCCCTCTCTAAGTGGTTTACAGAGTCAGTATATTGTCCCCAACAATCTGAGTCTCCATTTTATTGACCTCGGAAAGATGGAAGGTTGAGTCAACCTTGAGCTGGTCGGAATCAAACTCCTGGCAGTGAGCAGAGTCAGCCTGCAATACTGTATTCTAACCACTGCGCCATCACAGTTCCTAAGCTTAGCTTCTTGGCCTTTAGACAGAGTGGCCCCTGGGCAAGGTTATGATGGCAGATCATGCTTCTTCCTCTTTTGCCATTATGTTCTTCTGCTGCTGAAGCCAACATATAATATTTGAGTAAGTTGGACAAGGGTCTCAAAACTGATGTCAATGCTCTTAGAGATCTGGGACATCAATTGTGATGTTTAGCTTACATACACTGGCCACATTTGCATAACCCAGCCAACCCTATGTCTCCCAGTCACCTAGTTCATCTTCATCCACTGGCATAAAAGAACATGGGATGGCTGGGACTTTGATGTTCCAGCCATTTGTTACACCTTCCCAGCCAGTGCAAACGGGACCAGGATGCTATTGCTTATTTTCCAATATCCCATTTCTTCTCTTTCTGCTCTTCATCTTTCTTCTCTTCCTCCTTGTTCTTTTGGTTGAAGGAACCTTCTATGCCTTCATCTTGGCCACCTAGATCAGAAGGTGAGGAATTCGTGATGTTGCTATTTCATAGTCTAGCTCCTGCTATGTACCTTTGATTATGCTTCTCCCACAAATTGAGGGCCTTCAAGAATTGGTGGTGGGCTTTGCATATTAAAAGAAGTAAATTGTTATTACAGGGAGTCATGATGTCATTGATTTGTGGGTAGGAAGCAAAAGCTGAAGGAATAAGGATGTCCCATTAGGGGACTGGAGGCTGAAGCATATAAGGAACGGTTGCTGGAATTGGGTATGTCTAGTTTAATGAAGAGAAGGACGAGGGGGGACATGATAGCAGCCTTCCAATATCTCAGGGGCTGCCCCAAAGAAGAGGGAGTCAAGCTATTTTCCAAAGCGCCTGAAGGCAGGACAAGGAGCAACGGGTGGAAACTAACCAAAGAGAGAAGCAACCTAGAACTAAGGAGAAACTTCCTGACAGTTAGAACAATTAACCAGTGGAACAACCTGCCTCCAGAAGTGGTGAATGCTCCAACACTGTAAGTCTTTAAGAAGAGACTGGACAGCCATTTATCCGAAATGGTATAGGGTTTCCTGCCTGAGTAGGGGGTTGGACTAGATGACCTCCAAGGTCACTTCCAACTTTATTATTATTATTATTATGAGACAAAAAAAGCAGGTAAGGGAGGCTGGTGAGGTTAACCCACCTGATAAAATCCAAGTTCTCAGATCTACCACATTTAACTCTCCTTAACTGTTGTTTTCTAAGAGGTGGACTACATTTCTCCATCATGCACTGGCAGTGTGGTCTTTAAGAGAAAGAACGGTTGTTCAACAGACAAAAGTTTCTGCAAGGCTTCAAGCTGGAGAAAGCTGAATGGTTTAGGATACTCCCAGTGTGTCAGTCCTGAACAATGACAGAAAGCCCCTGAATATAATGTATCTAAGTAAGAGACTTATCTAATGATAGCAGTTGTTAAATGAATTACACAGCAAATTCAGTTTCTTCCACTGAGTTTGTTTGTCAGAAGACAGCTAGGAAGGCTGCAAATGGCAATTACATGACTCCAGGCTAATGCAATCATTATAAATAATTGGAAATAATAATAAATGGAATAAATAATAAATGGAAATAATGATGTTTATCTATATTGCAGGCAACATGTGAAGCAGGATGGAACAAAGGTGTAAGCAGGATCTGACTCCACTGTTCATCCAGCCCATCTTTCATGTCTATTAAAGCTGCAAGTACCCAGAGGATTAGACTACTGTACTCTGATGTTTGGGGTGGACCATTCTCCTCTGGAATTCTGCTTCCTTCCTAGCCCTGTTTTTATTGGCATTTTCAGCCAATGTCTTTCTGTCTTTCCAACACAACCCATGTGGTGCTTCCTTCTCCCCAACTAAACATACTAGTGTCAACCAAAAATGGATCTGTGATGAGAGTCTCTTAAAAGCCAAACAGTGGTGTCTGTCTGAGAAAGGTGCTGTCCCCTGCAGGGTATGGCATGACTGTGCACATTGGTTCAGGAAACAAAATATGCGTTCTAACTTTAGATTCCTCATTTAAAGAGAAATTTGGTTGTATTAATGAGCTAAGTGAGGTTACTGGGGATAATGGCATTCCTCAGTGTACTGCCTGCACAACATATTTAAGAAACAGATGGGTTGCTTTCAGGTGGGTTTGTTTTGTTTTGTTTTGTTTTGGTTAGTATTCCATTGATATTATTACAGGGAGTCCTTGACTTATAGCACAACTGGGACCAGAATTTCCGTTGTTAAACAAGGTGATTGCTAAATGAGTCATGCCCAATTTTACCATGGATTTTTGGCCATGGTTGTTAAACGAATCGTTGCAGTTGTTACAGTAAATGAAGTACACAGCAAATTCAGTTTCTCCCATCGAGTTTGCTTGCCAGAAGCGAACTAGGAAGGTCGCAAATTTATTTATTTATTTATGAGACTTATATACCGCTTTAAGTGGAAGCACTCTCTAAGCGGTGTACACCAATAAGCAATGTATATATATATATATATATTTACATTGCCCCCAACAATCTGGGTCCTCATTTTACCTACCCCGGAAGGATGGAAGGCTGAGTCAACCTTGAGCCGGTGAGATTTGAACCGCTGACCTGCTGAACACAGTCAGCTAAAGTGGCCTGCAGTCCTGCACTCTAACGGCTGCGCCACCTTGGCTCATAATGGCAATTACGTGCCCCCAGGATACTGTAATCATTATAAATACACACCAGTTGCCAACCATGCTGGTTTTGATCCCATGACCAAGCAGATGCTGCAGCGTTAGCCAGAAGTGGTCATAAGTCACTCCTTTTTTTAGCGCTCTTGTAACTTTGAACAGTTGATAAACAAATGGTTGTAAGTAAATATAATTCACGTATGGATTCTCCCTCCCACTTCCTTCTTAGAAAGAAAACCTGACTATTTCAACTACTGGAGATGTTCCATCCACTGATACATGAGAAGACCATGTCACTCATTTTCATTGAATGCAGTCAGAAAAGCAGAATTCTGGGGCCTCTTAAATCTTGACTCTATAATGGCAATCCCCAGGTGTATTTGACACAACTCTCAACATTGCCTCTTCTAGTTATTTTTCTCCCAGATCTGGACACGCTGATGGGATACATCTGAGGCAGCAACGCTGTCCTGACTCAGCACCTCCTTTGTTTAAAAGAGAAAACTTCCTGAAGTTCTAACAGTCTTTTTTTCCCCCTTCAAAATCCTCTTGACCCCAGTCACATGAGAGAGGTCATAGGCGTGAAAGGTTAATACCTTTTCACATGCAGGGGTCAAGAAGTTGCTACTGTTGTATATTTTGCCCCTCTGTTTTCCCAGAACCCTTTTCCTCCTTATTCATCCACAAAAGAAAAAAAAAAATCTAAACAAATCTGGTTCCTAGCAGAAGACTTCAGCTGAAGGGGGGGGGGCAGAGAGGTACTTGATTGTGGCATCATCTTTTTGACCTTTGCCTTTGTAATGGTCTTCCCCAGGCTGGTGCCCTCCAGATGTGTTCATTCATGCTACGCGCACACACGTATCAGCAGGAGTAGATAGCTGCATTCATTCCTCCAAAATTAGCATAGGCTAGCTGTCTTCCCGTGCCCCCATTAATGTTCCAGTGGGCAGCTGAAATCCTGCTCTTTGGCAGTGACATCATTTAGGAAAGGCCATTGTTATTACCTTTTTAAAATATTTTTTATGAACTTTCATTATAAGATAAAATTATAGAAGGAACCAAAGCTAGAATAACAAGAAAAAGAAAGAGAGAAGTGCAAACAGAGGAGCAAAAAGGAATGACTTTCTGACTTTCTTCGGTGGAGTAGATTGCAAAAATAATGTAATCTCAACCATTTGCTTTTACATTTACGACATTTCAGTGATAACAAAATCATTTCAACCATCAAAACCCAAAATCAAAGTTTTATTTTTTTTTCAGTTGCAAGCAAAAACCCAGAAGTAATTTCCAAGTAGAAACAACATTAGATTCCCCCACACACCTTCTTTTAACGACCCAGTAATCCTTTGCATTGAGGTGGAGTCAGGACGACTGAATGGAGCTGAGCATTTACTGGCCAGATGCCCTTCCTGATGCCCAAGTGGAGTTCATAGCAGATATTTTCTCTTTGCTCCCAGAGAGAGAGAAATATCTGCCGCTACCTAGGATCGAACTCACAGCCTCTTGATTGTGAGGTGAGAGCTCCAACTCTACACCACCAGGCCACTCAGAAACAAAATTAAATAAATACTTTTCTTTCATTAAAACAATCAACTTCATACCTCCACTAACTCCATCACTTTTACCACCCACTCTTCCATTGTAGGAATTAGTATGTCTTCCCATCGTTGTGCATATAAGATTCACAGTGGTGTAAATAATAACAGGGCTGAACGCCATCATTATTTCTGAGCTACAAATGTGTTCTCAGCTTTCTTTTCTTGAACATTGTTTATCTATCAGTTGGGTTCAACCATGGTTATTCTTTCTCCTCTTGTTTTGCTGTACTACAGGTAGTCCTTGATGTATGACTGCAATTTGAATCCAAAATTTGAGCCCAAAATTTCTTTTTGCTAAGCGAGTCATTTGTTAAGTGACTTTCACCCCATTTTTCAACTTTTCCTGCCACGGTTCATAACTGAATTGTGGGAGTTGTTGAGTTAGTAACACAGACATTAAGTGAATCTGGCTCCCCGTTGACTTTGCTGGTCAAAAGGTTACAAAAGTTGACCGTCTGACACTGGGGCTTTGCAGCCATCATAAACTCTGGCCAATTGCCAAGTGTCCAGATTTTGATCACGTGACCGTGGGAATGCCGCAATGGTTGTAAGTGTGAAAAATGGTCACAAGACCCTTTTTTCAGTGCCATTGTAACTTCAGTCCCTGAGCCAACAGTTGTAAGTTGAAGATTACCTGTTGTTAGCCACATTAGACTGAACCAGTTTGCAAGTGTCAAATAAATAAACAAAAAAACAAAAAAATTATAAAAATTATGGACCTGTGCCTCTCCTATTTATCATATTAAAACAAGACGCATTTTAATTTCTTCTCTCTCTCTCTCTCTCTCTTTCTCTCTCTCTGTGTGTTATGCAAATATCCGGATGCAAATATGGCGTGGGAAGGCTAGGTAAACATCTGCAGCCCTAAAGCAAAATGCCTGTAAGGAAAAGCTATCAAAATGAGGAGGCTCTTCCTGCTACACTACTCAAATCTATTACCCTGCCACATATATACTGTACATACACACATGCATATTTGTGCTCACCTATATTGAAGCTTCCTTACCGAACGTATCTTCTAACGTGGCCAATTGCAAGCTTCAAGATTTGCAAGCTTTGAAGAAAAAGAAGAGAGAGAGAGAGAGATGTGAGGCTAAATTATCAAAACTAAACAAGTTCCAGATAAAACTGCATGACATTCTGCATGAAATGGCTTCCTCAGGTTGGAATCGCTACCCCCTCCTCTATTTTGACACCTTCCCATAAGGTTTGAAACAAGCCAGACGCTCCTGCAGGGTCCCCCCCCCCGCCTCTTTTGAAAGCAGGAGATTACACTGCTCCAATTTAGGCAGACAAACCCCATACATTACAGTTCAAGAGGGAAAGGCAGAGGAGAGACTTGGTATCGTTCCCATCCCCCTGGAGAGCGTCAAGCTGGTGTCTAATCCCTGCAGTATGAAATGGTGTGTGTGTGTGTGTGTGTGTGTGTGTGTGTGTGTAGGGGGGGAGTGGGGGGGAGGGTCATACAATGGCCAGCAAAATTGTCTGGCTGTGCTGTACCAATTCCATAAGGAGGCCACAAAGAGAACCACCTTCAGGGGTCGCCCCCCCTGAAAAGAGAAGGTTGTGGCCAAGTCTTTTCTCATGCAGATGTGTAGCTCGCTTGTTTCTTGCTCGCTCTTTTGCAGACACTGGCAAAAGCCTGCCTACCACTGCTTTCTTGCCAGCCACAGATGGTATCTAACTCTGAGCCCCACCAGTTTGACAAGGAAGGGAAAACAAATCTTCTCTCTCCCTCCCCTTCCCTCCCTCCCTCCCCCTCTCTCTTTCTCTCTCTTTCTCTCTTGCTCATCCCAAAGGTGCTTTTTCAAGAGGCTACTGAAGAAGAAGAACTGAAGAAGCTTCTTGGATAAGAAGCGAAACGTCTTCAAAGAAAAAAAAAGGAAATCCAGTTGCCTCTTGTTAAAAGCACTTTTGGGACAGCCATGACCTGGATGACTCTTTCCCTTTTTCTCTCTCTTTCTCTCTTTCTAATAATAATAATAATAATAATAATAATAATAATAATAATAATAATAATAATAAGAAGAAGAAGAAGAAGAAGAAGAAGAAGAAGAAGAAGAAGAAGAAGAAGAAGAAGAAGAAGAAGAAGAAGTTGGAAGGACCTTGGAGGTCATCTAGCCCAACCCCCTGCTCAGGCAAGAAACCCTACACCATTTCGGACAAATGGCTGTCCAGTCTTTTCTTAAAGTGTTGGAGCATTCACAGCTTTTGGAGGCAGGTTGTTCCACTGGTTAATTGTTCTGTCAGGAAGTTTCTCCTTAGTTCTAGGTTGCTTCTCTTCTTGATTAGTTTCCATCCGTTGCTTCTCTCTCTCTCTCTCTCTCTCTCTCTCTCTCTCTCTCTCTCTCTCTCTCTCTCTCTCTCTCTCTCTCTCTCTCTCTCTCTCTCGTTCTCTTTTTCTCTTTCTCTCTCCTCTCTATCTCTTGTACTTTCTCTCCCATCCACACCCATGTATCAGTGCATCTTCTAGCCACACACCCCAAACTAACACACCCCTTGCTGTGTTCTCAAAAGAAACCTGTTCCTCAGCGCTGAAAGTCCTGGCAACAACCAGTGGCCATTCCAGAAAGGCATACAGTATCACAGAGAGCTTTTGGCTTATTAATAGTAGGTTAATGAGGCTGCAGAAAGAAGTTGACTGAGAAATAATTGTCACCAGCTGTGCTCACCCTCAGGTTAGCGAGGCTGTCCAGCATCAGCTATATGGTCATCTTGAGAAGACAATAGGCGGAAGATAGGCCAGCTTGCTGCTCTTTGTAATCCATTGCTGAGATAATACCCATGTTTTATTTTTTTGTTATCTTTATCCTACCTTTAATGCTTCATAAGTAACTCAAGGAGGCAAATATTCCTAATAGTCCTTCCTCCTCCTCTTGTTCTCCACACAACAACCCAGTGAGGTGAGCTGGGCTGAGGCAGAAGGACTGGCCCAAAATCACCCAGTTGGTTTTCATGCTTAAGGCGGGACTAGAACTCACAATCTCCTGGTGATTGGCTCAGAGCTATTGAGCCAGTTTTCATGCCTCAGGTGAGACTATAACTCAATCATCTTCTGATTTCTAGGTCAGCACCTTAACCACTACACCAAACTGGCTCTCAGGTCATTCTAATAAGAATTTAAATGGGAATGTGAGCATTTCCTTTTGCTATTACTCTTTCTAGGTTTGAAAAGTGTTTGAGGGGCAGGGTTTTTTTTTGGGGGGGGGGAAGTCCCAGGAAGTTCAGAACTGCTGCTTCTTCAGAGGAGGGGGATGTTCTGCCACAGCAGAAGTGGAGACAGGAAATGGTTTGACTGTGACTTCAAAGGGTCAAGGCTGATCCACTGTTTAAGATCTGAACGTCAATGAAGCTGACTCTGCATTTGCAACCAAGAAGCCACAAAGTGAGAGAAACAGAGATAATTGTTGAGAAGGATCCTTCACAAAACAATCTCCATCTTGAAGTGATGCTTTCACAAAGAGCCAACAGCATGTCTCACCTTAGAGTTGATTTTCTTGGGGGGGGGGGGCATTTGGATTCTTCAGGAGTCAGAGGCAAATTATTTGTAAAGTTGTAGGCCTACCAGGAATGTTCATGCTTGTGTGAGAGTTCTTAAAAATACAACCTTTCTATATAAAATTAACTGCCCAGCAAGTCACTATTAATTTTTCATTTCAAAATAGCCAGTCAGCTAAACTAGCAAAAAAGGGGGGGGGAACACTTGGAGTGCACATGTTTTATTACAATTGCCATATAGCTTACCAACAGAATGGCTCCAGGATACATTTCAGAGATATTTTTCAGAGAACTGTTTTAATTCCTGATCAACAAGTTGCCAGGCAAGATATATGAGGGTGATGTATAGGGAAGAATACCCTGCTCCTAATCCAAAAAACCTTCCCTGGTTCAGAGCACAGAATTGCACAGCCAATATAATAGTTGGAAACTAGGGGTCAACATACTCAGTTGATCTCTAGAAGGAGATTCGATCTCCATTAACAGGGATCTGGATTTCACTAGCTTGACAACAGAACTGCTTTTATGATCTCAAACACACACACACAAACACACACAGAGAAAGAGAGGGAGAGAGAGAAGGAGAGGAAGGGAGAGGGAGGGAGGGAGGGAGGGAGAGGGACTTGCTATCATATCATATTGGATTGGATTGGTGAAAACAATGAACCAGCCAAAGAACAGAGCAGAAGATTCTTGAATTGCATCACTGCTCATTGTTTCCCCAATATTACAAATAGCATCTCCTGGTGTGATTCTGAAATTCTGGGACAAAGAATGAATTGCACAATTCTATCCACAATGGGACGCCAAGATCAACTGTCACTCAGCCAAATGTTGTCATTTTCATCATAGCCTCTCAACTCCCCTCTACACCAGTCTTTGGGCAGGAACTTCAGAAAAGCCAGCCAGAATAATATTGTTCACCACTAAGGATGAGAACCTCTAAAAATGAAGAAGCCCCTCTGGCCGGTTCTGGAGGCCCAGAAACTGATGTTCATGGTTACAAGAGAAACTTCTGGCAACCAACTCCACTAATTCAAATAGCCTGAGCCATTGAGACAAAATAATCAGCAGCTTGAGAGGCAACTGGTGTTTCCCATAAACAAATGTTTTCATTTAGAAATAACAGAAACAATTTACAAAATGAAGGGATGAGGGGAAGATTCCACAGAATTGCAGGGTGGTTTTGTTTTGTTTTGTTTACAAACAATTACACCAAAGTGACACCAATGGCTTTCACAGAAGAATGAGCAACTAGAAAATGTTGGCCACAGTTAGTTGTTTTCTTCATTTAATTGGACACTAAAATGGATTGTGGTGGGACAAGCTTAGTTGGCTTGGGTTTCATGTTAGGTCCAGTTGAATTTTTCTTCTTCAGCTGGCAGATGTGAGATTTTGAGGTGTAGTTAGGACAGGACGTTGCTGCCGATATCCAAAACGTTCTCATCATGCAAAGCAGGAGGGTCCACAACCCCAGTTTTACACTCCTGGCCAAGGAGAGACTGCATGAACAAATGCAACACAGCCTAGCTTGACTAATTCCTGTCTTTTTCACTTCCCCTCTCCCAGACAATGCTAATTCCCTGGCTCCGTGTTCCAATCTCATCTCCTTATCAAACCTTATTTCCCAGGGGGTATGGTGTGGTGAGGGGAACTTCAATCAGAGGCTTGGTTGATGCAGAGTGATTGATATTGTCTCACTCATCCTTAAGTGCAGAAAGCCCTGTATTGACAGTTCTTTTCATGCACTGAAGATTTTTCCATGACCTCATTAGTTTTCCAAGATGAGCCAAGGTCTCAGAAGACAGCATAATTCACTTTGATCCCAACTGCAATTGCTTGCTGAAGGAACTCATTCTGAAAACATATAAAGGATGCTTGGATATGGTTAATCTGCAAGAGGATGCATAGATCAGAGTCGGCAACCTGCCCATCCTTGCAGAAGTAGAATGGCCCAATCAGTGCCATCTTTTCTTTTTGTTCTCTCTCCACCCTACACACTATATGGGGGCTGCTGAGTTCACACTGGCAAACCAACAGAAAGGAAGGAACAAAGGACCTAGTGTGTCATCCTGGCCATGTTGCATTCCCTTATCTTCTCTTTCAAAGCCCAGTCTTATTCTTGCGTCTTTCTCTGCATGATAGGATGGCCACTAAATTGCCCAGGGATGAGTGATGTAAAGCTGGGAAGACGTTTTCCTGACCTCAAGTGCTGACATATCACTGCCAGAGGAAGCTCAGACCTCTCCACTCAGCCTTGTGTAGCTGGAGAACTTGTTCCAATTCCACCCCTTGTGACTAACTGACACTGAACAGGTCAGAGATATTTTTGACCTTTCTTGAAATGCTTTGGAAAATTACAGGATCTTTAATGCTCTTAGACATGGGCTTGAGTTTATAACAGATAACACATGAGGGCACAATGCAGACTTTGTATTTTGTATACCATAAAGAGTACCATTGTATATTAAATCACACCCTGTGCAAACATACACTCCTTTCATTTTACAGCCTATTTTACAAAGAAGATTTCTGCTACTGCGGGGGGGGGGGGCAGGGGTGAAGGGTATTTTGAGTGGGAGTGGGGGTCTTTATGTGGTCTGTACTCAAAAAGGTAAGAACGTGGTTCAGGCCAGGCCAAAGATCTGATTTCATGAACATTTAACAG